TCTATCTATCTATCTATCTATCTATCTATCTATCTACCTATCTATCTATCTATCTATCCTTTTTAATTTGTTTGTTCCTTCTTCTTTACTACTAACAAGTTCAGGTTTTTTATTATTTGTTTTTGTTGTTTGTTTGGGGGTTTTTTTTGGTTATAGAAATTGGGTGGTCTCGGTTTTCATATAATTTCATTACAGTAATTCATCGGGTTAGCTAATCAATCCAATTAGTTTGGGTAAATGATAAAAACAAAACCCCAAAACAAAGCAGGAAATCCCGATTAACAAACGTTTCTCTTTTTTTTATTCAAGGATAATCTTTGTTTCTTATGGAGTTTTCTTTTTTGTCTTGATTCATCGGAAAATTTTTCCCAGTTGTACTTTAAACGGGTTTTTTAAAAACTGACCACTGAAAATAATATTTTCAAAAACAAAAACAAAAACAAAAACAAAAACAAAAAACAAAAACAAAAAAACGGCGACTTAAAATAAAATCTATATTTATGATTTCAACTGAAAACACATTAATTATTGTTACAATGAACTTCTGTAAAGTATTTCGCTTTCTAGCAATCATCACAGCAAGTTCTAATGTAAAAAATCTAACATTGGTGATATTTTGTGACAGTTCAAATTTGACATGATGTATTTTTCAGCAAAATGAAACATAGCGACATCAAATAGACTGAAATATTAATGTTCACATTTGAACTCTGTATGTTCACATTTGATAATGAAATTATTACAAGGGGCTTTCGTGGTCTAGAGGCACCGTGTTCGCCTTTCATTCCACAGGTCAAGACCGAGTCAAAAAAATTATATTCTAGTATCCTATTCTCCTTTCACCCCCTTTCCTGTTCTCCTCTAGTCACGTTCTTTTTTCATCTACTTTCACCTCCACTTTCTGCCCCCACCCCCACCTCCGGTCCTCCGTCCTCCTCGGGGCTTCAGACTCTTTCTACTGATACCCCTATAGCTCCTTGTTACTGCTGTCTTTCAGCCACACCCCTGATCTGAGGGTAGATAAGATCTAACACCTAACCTTCTCGGAAAAGGGCAAAAAAGTCCCGGAGGTGCCATGTGCAAGTTGCGCACTTTTAAAACCCATTGGTGATCCAAAATCGAAGAGAGTAGTCTTCGGCCGCCACCGGGGCAAAATTTAAAATTTATTCCAACCAAACAGAACATTTTTCATTTTTCTCGTGCGGTCATTTCATGACCTTACGCAATTGCGAGCGCAACAAAATAACACTTACCAAAAGATGGGGGAAAAAAGACAAAATAAGGATGTCTTCCATTGACAGCACCATTACGCCCCAAAGTAGGGCAAAACATCACTCTCGCGATAGTTAATTGCGCATGGTGCCATGTCTTTTTTGTTCTTCAGTAATTGGTTCAAGCTCAGGAAAATGGCTTGGAGAAGTTTCAAATTAATTCCAACCAAAACGGAAAAATGCTTTATGTGAAAACCAACTTGTGTCTCGTGGGTCATTAAATCGGGCCTTTTGCTGTTGCGAGCGCCGTAAAACTCTACCAAAACAAGCAAAGGAATGTGGCTGTGGAATGACGCCCGACACCGCCTTCGTGGTTTGTTAGGACCTTTGTTTTATACACTTGTCCTTTGTTCGCTACATATCTTGATTGTTTCGTCGTATATTTTTATGGTCCATTTTCTTCTTTTTCTCTTTAAAATGCTATCCTT